GGGGGAGCCCCGGGCTGCCCAAGGGGAAGGCAGGCTGCCAGGGGGGTAAAGGCAGGCTGCCAGGGGGTTAAAGGCTGCTGAGGTTATGCGGGGCAGGGGGGTCTTGCCTTAGACTCAGCCAACAGCTAGGGTCGAGATTAGGGGTAAGGGAGGATTTATTCAGAGGGAGATTAGTCAGGAGGTGGTCATGACCCTTGCAGAGGGGCAGGTGAGCCCTCCGCGGCTGGTTGCGGTGAGGGACACGGCGCTTATGTCCGTGTTGACAGAGACGTGCGCGGCGTAACATGCTCTCTAGATAGGGAGATGGGAAAGAGAGCGAGCGGTGAACAAACATCCCTGACCGTTAATGGCTGGCTGGAAAGCCGAGGAACGGCCAACATGTGGGAGACGTTCAGAGAAAGCGAGGATGGGGCCGGTGGAGCCTGCCCTGCAGCCCAGGGAGTGAACAGCCCGTGATGCAGCTCCTTCGCAGGGGGGTGGAAATGGGATCACCCGCCACGGTTTCATGCTCTGGGCCCCGCAGTCCGCCTTCTTTTTGGCAATTGGCACTTCCACTAGTAATAAAAACCCTCTGCTTTCAGGAATTTTCTAGACCTTTCAAAGGTAGCAATTTGTCTCCTTTTTTTTAAGTCCTGTTCTGACAACAGAGTGTAATAGTGATTGCTAGCTGGAGTAGCAACAACTGAGCTCAAAGTAGCAGAGACTTCTGCAGGATTTAGTCCATCTTTTATTTATTCATTTTCCCAATTTTTATACCCATTTTAAGTATTTACCTTTTCTTATTTAAACTGCTTAGTTGTGACCTATGGTCATAAGATATTAATGTATTCAAACCTCAAGATTTGGAGCACCAGTTGGTTGTCTGTAGGGGTTGACAGGAATTTAGCCCAGTCTAAAACACTACCTATTTTAAATGGTATTTTGTTTGCATACAATACAAATTCTCTTAATACTAGGTATTCAGGTACCTAGCCATAGCTTGGGGGCCAAATACCAAGATGGACTGGTCCTTGTTCTGGCCAGGCAGGTCTTACATTTTTACCCTGTATCTGTTGGTAGCATATCGAATACCCAAAGCGTTATTTCTTACAGTGAGTGACCTATGTCTCACATGAAATTAAGCCACTAATTCAGCTACATTAAAAAAAAAGCGGGGGAGAAATGAAAAGCCAGCATCTATTTTACTCTACTTCCACTGGCAAAACTTAGAGGTTTTAAGCTTTTTCTCTTCTGAAGCCAGAAATGAGTCAAGAAGCTCTTATTTCTTAAGTACCAAAGGACATTTCTGAACTTGTATGTAAATTTCTGAGGTTCGCATTCCTCTTGAACCGGGAAGGAGAACAAAATGGCAGAAGGGTGGAATGAGTGAATTCTGTACAATGCCCTATTGAGGTAAGCATAAGGAAGTAGTAGCTCACGTCCTTTATCCATTTTGGCCTGTTCTCAAGAAACAGGTATTTTAAGCCATCTACAAATTTTCCCTTTGAAAAATGCACTTAACTGAAAGCTAGCCCTATGTTTCTGTCTGGCCCATAACAGCACTATAAATAGAAAGCATAACTAGACAAACAGTTAAGGCTTCAACCACCTCCATCTCAGAGCTACATCCATCACTATCTGAAGCTTATGGAAATGCCAAGTCCTACTTTTATCTTATGTAACGTAACCTTTAAAGAACAACTTGAACCTCATAAGGTTTAACAAGGCCAAGTGCAAGGTCCTGCACCTGGGTCGGGGCAATCCCTGGCATCAATACAGGCTGGGGGATGAAGGGATTGAGAGCAGCCCTGCCGAGAAGGACTT